GAAACGTCAGGAGAGAATGCTTCTAGAACATGGCCCTATAGCCCGAAAAAACCTACAACAACCCAGCATTTTTTTTAATTTTCAATTTTTCACACATATGAGGGTCCTGTGCCATTAACCTCAGCAAATAAGGAGGGCGGACTATAATAAACGAGTCCATATATTTGATCACCAAATTTAAGATTTAGGAAATGTTTCATGGGTAGCCATGGTGATCATGTAAAAATTAAAAAAAGTTTTTAAACTTTATAGCCCACGAGATATCTCCCAGCTCTCAATTCTATGACTCTAAGGATTTTTTTTGTCGTGTCAGGAGCGACCTGAGAAACTGCAAGTCGCTTCTGGTGTGAGAGAATTGGCCGTCTGCAAGGACGTTGCCCAGGGGATGCCTGGATGATTTTTTTGATGTTTTTATCATCCTTGTGGGAGGCTTCTCTCATGTCCCCGCATGAGGAGCTGGAGCTGATAGAGGGAGCTCATCTGCCTCTCCCCGGATTCGAATCTGCGACCTGTCGGTCTTCAGTCCTGCTGGCACAGGGGTTTAACCCACTGCGCCACTGGGGGCTCCACTCTAAGGATGCATCTACACTACAGAATTACTGCACTCTGAAACCACTTGTAACAAAATCATGGAAGCTGTGTTTTTGCAAGAGTTTAGCCTCCTTTGTCAAAGGTTGCTGGTACTACACCAAACTACAAGTCCCAGGATGCCATCGCATTTAGTTATGGACCTTGAAGTGGTGTCAAGCTAGATTAATTCTACATTGCAGATGCACCACTAGTCTGTCTTTCAATTTATCTACCCATTAATTTTGCACAAGATTGCAGAAACATTAATGGGAGGTGAGGAGGAAAAGGCAGTATGAAGCTATGAAGTTTCGTAATAGAGACGGGCAACTGCATAGGGTTGGACGTGAAGATCCCCTCGGCGCTTGTGCAAGTCCACTTATCTTCATTTTCCTCTGAAAATGCTTTCAAAAGGACAGCAGGAAGTAATATGGCATCACTTCTACCACCATTTTGAGACATAATGCAAAGCGAAATGGGGGTATTTGGGATAGTAGAAGGCTCTCGGATGATCGCAGGGACAATTTGGGAGTCAATGACAGATTGCATCCCATCAGAGCTCTGAAAAGTTACCTTTTTGGATGGCACCTTCCAGTATTAAGGCACTGTGAGAGCTGCAGTCCCAAAAGGTAACTTTTTTGAGCTCAGTATCTCACATCCAGAGTTGGTTGGCAGCAGAACTGAGTGTTGAGAAAAAGTTCAGAGAAGCAAACAGGCAAAAGCACCATCCCAAACGGATAACCAGATGTGGTGATGACAAAAGGGACCCATGCAGTTAGTTTGCAAGGGGATTTGGGAGATCACGCAGCCTCCTTTAGCCTCCCTCCAGCTGCCCAAGGGCTGTGCAAAATTTAAATTCTATAGACAAAAAAAAAATGTAACATTGCATTCCCAGGTTGGGTATCCTTAGTATTTACAAACCAAAATCCAATTGAGAACACCCACCCCACCCAAAATTGACATGTATTGCTAAGATAGCCCTTACCTCCTCTAGCTGGCTGTGGACATGTTGGACAATCAGGTCGATGGCTACGGTGTTCCCACTTCCTGAAACAAAAAAAAGAGCAAAACATTCCTATTTAAGCAGGCTTTTAATATATAATCAGGAAAGCTTTTTATAGGTCAGTTTATTCTTGTAAAACTTCTCTGTGCTTTCTAAATGTTTTTATATTGTATTGTCGAAGGCTTTCATGGCCAGAATCACTGGGTTGTTGTAGGTTTTTTCGGCTATATGGCCATGTTCTAGAGGCATTCTCTCCTGACGTTTCGCCTGCATCTATGGCAAGCATCCTCAGAGGTAGTGGGGTCTGTTGGAAGCACCATTTGAGGATGCTTGCCATAGATGCAGACGAAACGTCAGGAGAGAATGCCTCTAGACCATGGCCATATAGCCCGAAAAAACCTACAACAACCCATTATATTTATTTACAGCATTTATATTCTGCCCTTCTCATCCCAAAGGGGACTTAGGGAAGATCACAGAACACATACATGGCAAATATTCAATGCCGTTAAACAGACAAGACAGACAACAGATAGAGATACTATGTTGGCATTTTTCCCAACTTCAGCGGTCTGGAGGTTGTGTTTGATTCTGGCCACAGGGGGGTGCTGATGCTCCATCCTCTATGATGAAGAGCCCTTGATCATAGACTTTCTCCTCCTTTGATCCCTGACATTTCCTGGTATTTCCTTTTTATGGTGCTGTAAAATACCTCCTCACTTAAGCGATGCCTAATTTCTCTACTCACAGCTCACAGCTGTTTTCAAACTGCTTAGGTGGACAGTAAGCTGGGCTGAAGGTCGCTCCTTCTCAGGCTTCAAACTGCCAACCTTTTGATTGGGAAGATCTATTGCTGTTGGTGATTAACCAGTTGTGCTAAATTATTATTATTATTATTATTATTATTATTATTATTATTATTATTATTGCTATTGCTATTGGGGGATTGTGTGGTTTCCAGGCTGTATGACTGTGTTCTAGCAACATTTTCTCTTGATGTTTCACCTGAATCTGTGGCTGGCATCATCATAGGATCTTCAGAGAATTATTATAATTATTAATGTTGAAGGCTTTCATCACTACCCTCACTACCTTTGAGGATGCCATAGATGCAGGGCGAAACGTCAGGAGAAAATGCCCTCGAGCAGGCCAAGGTCTTTAGGCACTGCAAACCCCAACACACATTATTATTATTATTATTATTATTATTATTATTATTATTATTATTGTGGCAGGAATCCAACTGTAATGCTCAGCGTGGATCCTCATCTCCCACTATTTCAGCCTCCTCTCTTTCTCTTCAGTCCTGTGGCTCTCTGCAGCTTTGCTTGTATTGTGTAAGAGACAAAGGACTGGAGAAAGACTGCGAGTATAAGGCACCTGATATTAAATATATGTATATAGTATAGTACTCTACTACACAGGAGATCTCTGGAGAGCCCCCCATCCAGCTGCCTCTGCTTTGCAAACCAACAAGCAGGAAGTGTTACAGCCTCAAAGGTAGAATTGGTTGGCTGGAAGCAAAAAGTTTCCAATTTTGGAGCATTTCAGATTCTGGATTTCCAGACAGATGAGGATTCCCCAGCCTGAGATAGAACCCCACCTGAGAAACCAGTGATCCCATCAAATGGAGCAAAGGGAGAGACACATACCCCGTGGGACGACAATGTCAGCGAGCCTCATGGTGGGTTGGATGTACTGGTCGAAGGCGGGTTTGACGAATTTGTTGTACTGCTTGATGACCCCTTCGATGTCCCTCCCGCGCTCGGTGATGTCCCTGCGCAGGCGCCGGACCAAGCGGATGTCGGAATCCGTATCCACAAAGATCTTCATGTCTAGAAGCTGGAGAGAACAGCCATATCAAAGAGAAGTCAGACAGAATATTATCGCTCTTTGAAGTAGGAATGGCAATTACAGGAGGCCCCTCTCCCACGGTCAGAAGTGCTTGCTATCTAAGGCAAGGGAGGACTGAAATTCCTTTCGTCTCCATTCAGTACACAAACTACCTGGACACCATGATGAGTCTGATGCACCTGGTACTTATCTTTGAAGGACATGCTCTCAACAGAGTTCAGCAGCCAGATTAATAACTGGGGCAACTTACAGGGAGCAGTCAACCCCCCTGTTTAAGGAGCTCCATTGGCTGCCATTTTTTTTCCAGTCCCAATTCAAGGTGCAGGTTATCACCTATAAAGCCCTAAACGGTTTGGGACCTGCCTACCTTCGTGACCATATCTCTCTCCATGAACCAGCCCGTACCCTTCGATCTTCGAAGGCCCTGCTCTCGCTCCCACCTCCCTCACAGGCGCGATTGGTGGGGATGAGGGAGAGGGCCTTCTTGGTGGTGGCCCCCCGACTCTGGAACTCACTCCCCAAGGATCAGACAAGCCCCACATTGGCAGTCTTTAGGAGGAGCCTGAAAACGTGGCTGTTCCAGTGTGCCTTCCCGGAATAAGGAAATAATCCCCAGCAAAATGTCCTCAGAAGCACTTGAACTATTCGTTGGGTTGCTCTCCCTTCATTTCTTTTAAAACCCTCCTATCAGATACATCCTTCCTCTGTTCATGCCCAGCGTTTATTTTTTTAATTTTAAATTATTACGTTTGGCCTGGCCATAGGTTTTTAAATCCTTGTGTGTTATTTTTATTGTTTATATGTGATTTATTAACTGTATTGTATTGTTTTTGTTTTATTTGCTTTTTGTTTTTATTGATGTGTTGTTGGGCTTGGCCTCATGTAAGCGACTCCGAAGTCCCTTGGGGAGATGGTGGCGGGGGATAAATAAAGTTGTTGTTGTTGTTGTTGTTTTTTTTTGTTATTATTATTATTATTATTATTATATTGCTACTACTACTAGCTGTACCCGCCATGCGTTTGTGGCCAACTTTCCCTCTTTCTCTCCTTCCTCTTCCTTCCTTCCTTCCTTCCTTCCTTCCTCTTTCTCCTTCTCTTCCTTCTCTATCTCTTTCCTTCTTTCCCTTTTTCTTTTCTCTTCGCTGTCTCTCTTTCTTCCTTCTCTTTCCTCTTTCCTTCCCTCCCTCTTTCTCTTCTTCCCTCTTTCCTTCTCCTTCTTTCCTTCCTTCCTTCTTCCTTTTCTTTCTTTATCTCCTTCCTTCCTTCTCTATGCTTGGATGATGAGACGATTGGGTACGGGTTTTTTTTTGTAATAATTGTGCATTGTAATTGCTTATTGGTTATTAATGGAAAATGTGTAAATTAATTGTCATTGTTGTATGGAATTATTGCTGTTTTTATTGTCTTTACTGTTTGTGAACCGCTGTGAGTCGCCCTCGGGCTTGAGATACAGCGGTATATAAGCATAGTAAATAAATAAATAAATAATAACGCAGAATATCAAGGCAGGAAATCCCACAATATCTGCTCTTCCCTCCCTCTTTCTCTCCTTTCTTCCTTCTCTACTTCTTTCCTTCCTTCCTTCTCTCTTTGCTTCCATACTTCCTTCTCCCTTTCCTTCTTTCTTTCCCTCCCTCTTTCTTTTCTCTTTCTTTCTTTCTTTCTTTCTTTCTTTTTTCTTTCTTTCTTTCTTTTTTTCTTTCTCTTCCCTCCCTTTTCTTCCCTTGTGTTTGCACCCGTACTCTTGGGAAGTCTGACTTGGCCACGATAGTCCACGCTCTGGTTACATCCCGTATGGACTACTGCAATGCTCTCTACGTGGGGTTGCCTTTGAAGACTGCTCGGAAGCTTCAAATGGTCCATCGGCAGCCAGGTTGCTAACAGGAGCGGCACTCAGGGAGCATACAACTCCTCTGTTGCGCCAGCTCCACTGGCTGCCAATTTGCTACCGGGCACAATTCAAAGTGCTGGCTTTAGCCTTTAAAGCCCTAAACGGTTCTGGCCCGACCTACCTGTCCGAACATCTCCTCCTATGAACCAGTTAGGACATTAAGATCGTCTGGGGAGGCCCTGCTCTCGATCCCGCCGGCTTCACAAGCACGCCTGGCGGGGACGAGAGACAGGGCCTTCTCAGTGGTGGCCCCTCAGCTGTGGAACGCCCTTCCTGCAGATATCAGATCGGCCCCCTCCTTACTGGCATTCCGGAGAAAAGTGAAGACCTGGCTGTTTGAACAGGCATTTGACTAAGCAGTGCAATTGATTGATTAGCGGAACATGGAATAATGGATAACGAGACTGGATTCTGATTCTATTGATGAGATCTGATGGATTTGTTATATTGATGTATTGTTGTATTGATATTTACTGTTTAATTAATTTGTTATGTTATTGCTTTTAAATGCCCAATGAACTTGTATTGTGTATACCGAAACTATTGCTGTTAACCGCTCTGAGTCGCCTAAGGGCTGAGAAGAGCAGTATATAAATGAAGTAAACAAATAAATAAATAAATCTAGCTTTTCATCATTTATCTTTTTGGGGCTATTTAAGTCCCTTCTGCTGTGTTTTTCAGTATTTTTTTAAGTGAAGGGCATACATTGGGTTGTTAGGTGTCTTGTGTCCAAATTTGGTGTCAATTCCCCCAGTGGTTTTTGAGTTCTGTTAATTCCACAAACGAACATTATATTTTTATTTATATAGATTATTATTATTACCATGGAGGGACTACAAGCCTTAGTTCCAAAGCATAGAATCATAGATTTGGAAGGGACGGGAGAAATCAGGGACAACTCCTTGCAATATAGAAATGGAAAGAGAATGCATTGATGACAGCTCTCTGGTCATTGCAAAGCATGGAAGAGTGGGCTGATACATGTGCATGCCGTCAACGACACGCAGCATGGTGTAGTGGTTTAAATGGTGGACTATTTGCAAGGTAAAGGTAAAGGTTTTCCCCTGACATTAAGTCCAGTCGTGTCCGACTCTGGGGTGTGGTGCTCATCTCCATTTCTAAGCCGAAGAGCCGGCGTTGTCCGTAGACACCTCCAAGGTCATGTGGCCAGCATGACTGCATGGAGCGCCATTACCTTCCCGCTGGTTGGCCATAGAATTGTTTTTGTAATGTTTTGGACAAGTCACACACTCTCAGTCCAAAGACAACGGTAACCCCGCTCTGGACAAAGCTTGCTAAGAAAACCCCATGATAGGTCATCCTAAATTGGAATGATTGAAGGCTGTAGGAAAGGCTTCCCTGTTGAGAATTCCTAAACTGGACACTAGAGGTCGCTGTTACATTAGCTAGAGCTGCAGTGTTGGCTTCTCTTAAATGAAAGCAGAGAGACCAAAACAATATATTTTCAATGACGTTTTGTGCCAAAAATGGGGAAACCTTGTCAGTCCAAGCAAAGAAGGTGTCAGGGGCTTAATTCCAAACAGTATGTTGCTCAAAGATAACACTATGTAACACAGTTTTTGTTCCTGGTTTATAAACGTCATTTCCTAATTGGTTCTATCATAAAAAGTTGGAAAAAGTTTATTAAACTGCAAAAACTTTGTTTTTATGGGACATCCTGTAGCAAGTTTTGCTATAGTTTTCCAATGGATATCTCATAGAGTCCCAACCAATCCAACATGTTTGTTAATGTTTAATGCTTGTTTTATGAGTTCATTTATTTTGCTTTGTTGTTGTTGTTGTTGTTGTTTTGTTGATGTATTTGGGCTCGGCCTCTTGTAAGCCGCACTGAGTCCTCTGGGAGATGGTAGCGGGGTATAAATAAAGGTTTATTATTATTATTATCATTACATAGATTGTGACAGCCACAAAAACAAAGGTTCTGGAGCAGAACAACGACATTTAAAGTAAGTTCTGCACAATTGAACTGGAAATTTCACTTTCAAACTCGGAATATATTTTTTTCAAATTTTGTTACACAGCTTAATAAAGAGGCTGTATTGTAACTTCTTGTGGAAGGAAGAGAATAGGTGAAATTGCAGGTACTGACCTGGTCATAATGTATACTAATATGGTGCTTTATGGCTCTGACACAAACAAAGACTTTCTTTGTAAGAGGACAAAGTTTGAGCTATTTTTTAAAGAACACAAACTGTCTCAAATCCTGGGTTGTTGTGAGTTTTCCGGGCTGTATGGCCATGTTCCAGAAGTATTTTCTTCTGATGTTTCTCCCACATCTACGGCAGGCATCCTCAGACAACTTCTGAGGATGCCTATCATAGATGCAGGCAAAACATCAGGAGAGAATGCTGCTAGAACATGGACATACAGCCCAGAAAACTCACAACAACCCAGTGATTCCAGCCATGAAAGCCTTCGACAATACAGTGTCCCAGACCCTCTTACCTTTAAAAGCTCCTTGTCGGCAAACGCCATGATGCCTTCAAATATAATGACATTTGCTCCATAAAGGATTTTCTGAAAGAAAAAGGTTGTCAACAATTTAGTTTGAAAAGCATCTCTGGCAGTTCAAAAGAGAAACACAAAACCTAAGACAAAGAGACAAGGCCAAGCAAAAACATTAAGGGAGGGCTGACAACAAGCAAGAGTTTTTGGACAAGTTACTCTATAGTGATAGGAAGAGAAGAGTGGGGCATGAAATCATGCAGCTCAGATAATGGAAGTCAAAGGGAAAGAGAAAGTTTAAGTCTAGAGTCATAGAGTCGGAAGAGACCTCATGGGCCATCCAGTCCAACCCCATTCTGCCAAGAAGCAGGAATATTGCATTCAAATCACCCCTGACAGATGGCCATCCAGCCTCTGTTTAAAAGCTTCCAAAGAAGGAGCCTCCACCACACTCCGGGGCAGAGAGTTCCACTGCTTAACGGCTCTCAGTCAGGACGTTCTTCCTCATGTTCAGATGGAATCTCCTCTCTTGTAGTTTGGGGGTGTCTCCGGACAACACTGGCTCTTTGGCTTAGAAATGGAGATGAGCACCAGCCCCCAGAGTTGGATACGACTAGACATAATGTCAGGGGAAACCTTTACCTTTATTGGGTTGTTGTAGGTTTTTTTGGGCTATATGGCCATGGTCTAGAGGCATTCTCTCCTGACATTTCACCTGCATCTATGGAAAGCATCCTCAGAGGTACCTTTATTCTTCTTAGCCCCAATACTCTGGATCCTCAATGGGATGAAACAACACTGTGAATGAAGAAGCACGACTCACCCATTCTTTTTTGCGGCTGTGGGTGGTGAAGTCGTAAATGGGGATCTTGACGCTCTTCCCTTGCTTGAGCTTCTTCAAGGTGGAGATGATCAGATCGAAATCGAAAGCATCCGGATGGTCAAAGTTGTAATCGTTGCTGGCCGCTTGAAGCTGTTGCTCCTTGGTCAAGACCTGCCAGAAGGAGGAGAAAACAAAATAATGTATCCCAACTTAAACCAGAGAACTTGCTCAGCATTCTGTTTGGGATTTACGTCTTCATAACAGTAGTTTGAAGTCTGGACTATGACTTTGTATATCCTCCCATTTGCCCATCGAAATCCATTGGTCACACATTCTCAGTCCCAGAAAACAGTCATTTGAAGGTTGGAGGAATATTTTAGATACCAGGGTTCCATTCCTCCCATTTTCCCATGGCAATCCATTGGTGGATCTTACATAAGTCACACACTCTCAGCCCCAGAAAACCCCATGATACATTCACCTTGATTGACCCACTACTACAACAACATATATGCCCTTATGTGTGCAGAAAACTGAATTAAGTATGGGTTGTTGTAGGTTTTTCCGGGCTATATGGCCATGTTCTAGAGGCATTTTCTCCTGACGTTTCACCTGCATCTATGCCAAGCATCCTCAGAGGTAGTGAGGTCTGTTGGAAGTAGGAAAATGGGTTTATATATCTGTGGAATGACTAGGGTGGGACAAAGGACTCTTGTCTGCTGCAACTAGGTGTGAATGTTTCAACTGACCACCTTGATTAGCATTTAATGGTTTAGAAGTGCCTGGGGGGAATCTTTTGTTGAGAGTGATTTGATGTGCCTGATTGTTTACTCTCTGTTGGTCAGTTCTTGTGGGTTTTTTCGGGCTATATGGCCATGTTCTAGAGGCATTCCGGCCATGAAAGCCTTCGACAATACATACTCTCTGTTGTTTAGCTGTTGTAATTTTTGAGTTTTTTTAATACTGGTAGCCAGATTTTGTTCATTTTCATGGTTGCTTACTTTCTGTTGAAATCGTCCACATGCTTGAGGATTTCAATGGCTTCTCTGTGTAGTCTGACATGGTGGACAATTTCAACAGAAAGGAAGAAACCATGAAAATGAACAAAATCTGGCTACCAGTATTAAAAAAGTCAAAAATTACAACAGCAAAACAACAGAGAGTAAACAATCAGGCACATCAAATCACTCTCAACAAAAGATTCCCCCCAGGCACTTCCAAGTCATTATATGCTAATCAAGGAGGTCAGTTGAAACATTCACACCTAGCTCCAGCAGACAAAAGTCCTTTGTCCCACCCTGGTCATTCCACAGATATATAAACCCATTTTCCTACTTCCAACAGACCTCACTACCTCTGAGGATGCTTGCCATGGATGCAGGCGAAACATCAGGAGAAAATGCCTCTAGAACATGGCCATATAGCCCGGAAAAACCTACAACAACCCAGTGATTCCGGCCATGAAAGCCTTCGACAATACATTGAATTAAGTATTTCTGCAATGCCTATATTCACCTAGGGCAGGCATGGGCAAACTTGGGCCGCCCAGGTGTTTTGGGCTTCAACTCCCATAATTCCTAACAGCCGGTAAGTCCAAAACACCTGGATGGCCCAATGCCTGATATAAATGCACCCAAGGGCGTGCTATGTTCAATTAACTCTTTGTTTCAGCCAGGAAGAGCAATTTTATGGTCTTCCGAAGCACTTGCAGTGTTCAAGTTTGGACTGAACAGCAATTCAAATATTTAATGGCCTCTCAATGCCCTGATGGTTTGCAATGAACATGCTATTCAAATGTTGTTGAATAATGGATGGTACAGTGCACTCTATATTTGTTTCCTTTTGTTTAAGGCAGTTAAAGCAGTTAATAATAGAAAACCAGGAAGGTGGCAAATATCCCAGACTAAGTTTCTGATTAATGATTGCTCATCTTGGTTACAGACTCGACTCCCAGGATTACAGGCAATAAAACAGATTGCGCTAGGACTTAAAAGGGGAAAAAAAAGATTTAGAATAAATCTTTGACATGATGTTAACAATATCGCCATAAGGAGGAAAAAGAAAGGCTAATTTAGGATTAATTATTGACTAGTTGCTAGCAGTGAACAATTGTTAAATTAAGTGAAAAGTGCAAAGTTTTGGTAATAAACCTGACAAGCAAAGTTACAATCTCCAGCTGGCTCGAAAAAACTTACAGACAACTTAGCATTTAAACCAGGAGTAAGGATCATGAAATCCTTAAGATGTTCAATCACAACTTCTAGCATCTTGCATTGGATTGATGAAGGGTGAGGAAAACTATCGAATCAAACCACATAAATATTCTAGAATTCCATGGTTTACAGAATCATTCAATAATATGGTTGATGAAAAATCACAAGGGACCACTTCCTCACAAGTTGAAAAGAGAGAGGCTGACATGGAAGAGAACACTTAAAAGTATTATTATTATTATTATTATTATTATTATTATTATTAGATACACAGCAAGATTAGTACATAGCATGGAATATTGTGTCCAATTCTGGGCACCACAATTCAAGAGAGATATTGACAAGCTGGAATGTGTCCAGAGGAGGGCGACTAAAATGATCAAGGGTCTGGAGAACAAGCCCTATGAGGAGCGGCTTAAGGAGCTGGGCATGTTTAGCCTGAAGAAGAGAAGGCTGAGAGGAGAAATGATAGCCATGTATAAATATGTGAGAGGAAGCCACAGGGAGGAGGGAGCAAGCTTGTTTTCTGCTTCCTTGGAGACTAGGACGCGGAACAATGGCTTCAAACTACAAGAGAGGAGATTCCATCTGAACATGAGGAAGAACTTCCTGACTGAGAGAGCCGTTCAGCAGTGGAACTCTCTGCCCCGGAGTGTGGTGGAGGCTCCTTCTTTGGAAGCTTTTAAGCAGAGGCTGGATGGCCATCTGTCAGGGGTGATTTGAATGCAATATTCCTGCTTCTTTACATTGAGCATATGGAAGTAACCTATGGAGGTTTCCAAGCCTGTCTGTGTAAACTGTAGTAGGGCATAGGCTTTAGGGTGGGGATAGGGGTCCTCCTGTTATTTCCACTCAAGGAGGAACAAAGCTAGTTCTATCTTATGCTCCAGATGGCCAGCTCATGGCATCACGGGTGTGGTCTTAACATTATCAAAGAAGATATTGACAAGCTGGAAGGTATCCAGAAAAGGAAGAAAAAACCCACAAATGATCAAAGGTTTGGAAGGATGCCTTAGGGAACTGGGTATGTTTCGCGTGGAGAAGAGAAAGCCATGCTTAAATATTTGAAAGGGTGTCATATTGAGAAGGAAGTCAGCTTGTTTCTTGCTTCTCCAGAGACAAGGACATTAAGCAATGGATTCAAATTAGAGGAAAAGAAATTCCACCTAAACATTAGGAAGAATGTACTGACAGTCACAGCTGATTGACAGCTCCAGAGGTTTTTAAAGAGAGGCCGGATCATAGAATCATAGAATCAAAGAGTTGGATGAGATCTCATGGGCCATCCAGACCAACCCCCTGCCAAGAAGCAGGCATATTGCATTCAAATCACCCCTGACAGATGGCCATCCAGCCTCTGTTTAAAAGCTTCCAAAGAAGGAGCCTCCACCACACTCCGGGGCAGAGAGTTCCACTGCTGAACGGCTCTCACAGTCAGGAAGTTCTTCTTCATGTTCAGATGGAATCTCCTTTCTTGTAGTTTGACGCCATCTGTTGAAAGTGCTTTGATTGTGTTCCCGCATTGCACAATAGGGTTGGACTGGATGGCTTTTGGGGTCTCTTCCAACTACGATTCTATAAATTATCAGCCCTACTATATCTCATCTGATCGCAGAGGCTGCCAGGGAGAGGTGATAAAGGACAATGCGGTCTCTTCCTCCACCCCATAAGAACATCACGTCTTTATATCTGTTCTAGTGACAATATTTTTATTTGTGGCTTTCTCAGAACTCCCTAACTCCAGCGAATGAGGAGGGCTGCCTATACAGGTAACCACAAAAATCTATAATCCAAAGCACTTCTGATCCCATAAAAGATGTTGCTGTTTATTCATTCAGTCGCTTCCGACTTTTTGTGACCTCATGGACCAGTCCAGGCCAGAGCTCCCTGTTGGTCATGGCCACCCCCAGCTCCTTCAGAGTCAAGCCAGTCACTTCAAGGATACCATCCATCCATCTTGCCCTTGGTCGGCCCTTCTTCCTTTTTCCTTTTATTTTCCCCAGCATCATTATATTTTCTAAGCTTTCCTGTCTTCTCATGATGTGGCCAAAGTACTTCACCTTTGTCTCTAATATCCTTCCCACCAATGAGCAGTAGGCTTTATTTCCTGAAGTACGGACTGGTTGGATCTTTTTGCAGTCCAAGGCCCACTCAGAATTTTCCTCCAATACCACAATTCAAAAGCATCTATCTTCCTTCACTCAGTCTTCCTTATGGTCCAGCTCTCACATCCGTAGGTGACTACGGGGAATGCCAATGTTTTTACTATGTGGATCTTCGTTGCCAATGTGATGTCTCTACTCTTCACTATTTTATCAAGATTGGTCATTGCTCTCCTCACAATAAAGGTTGAATAAAGGATATTCAACCTATGTATATGGGAAATAGGTGATGTGGAATATAATCCAATTCTTTGAAATATATATAAAAGTTCAATTACTATCATTTGCTCCCAACTTACCTTGTAGAAGGAGTCCATGGAGAGGAGCACCACCCACGGCACATCCAACGCCTCGATGATCATCCGGGCAACGGTTGTCTTTCCAGAGGCACTGCCTCCCCCAAGGCCTGTTGGAAATGGCAGAGGAAGGAAAACTTGGGGTGGAACTTTTGGAACACAGGCATGGCCAAACTTCAGCCCTCCAGGTGTTTGGGACTTCAACTCCCACAATTGCGGTAGGCTGTTCGGAATTGTGGGAAGTGAAGTCCTGAACTCCTAGAGGGCCAAGGTTTGCCCATGTCTGGTATAACAGTACTTCCAACAGTGCAAGGATCACCTCTCAACAAAAGATTGCCCCAGGCACTGCCAGGCCATCAAATGCTAATCAAGGTAGTCAGTTGAAACATTCACACCTAGCTCCAGCAGACAAGAGTCCTTTGTCCCACCCTGGTCATTCCACAGATATATAAACCCATTTTCCTAGTTCCAACAGACCTCACTACCTCTGAGGATGCTTGCCATAGATGCAGGCGAAACGTCAGGAGAGAATGCCTCTAGAACATGGACATATAGTCCAAAAAAACCTACAACAACCGTGCTAAAAAAGTTGTAAAATGATAAATAATAATAATAATAATAATAATAATAATAATAATCTTTATTTATACCCTGCCACCATCTCCCCAAAGGGGACTTGGGATGGCTAACATGAGGCCAAGCCCAAAAATACAATACAGCAAAATAAAATACAGAGAAACAAAAAATTACATCAAAACAAAATACATAAAATCACAAAATAAAATGAACACTGGAAAATAACATTATAAAAGTCAAACAAATAGGGCAAACTATTTATAAAGATAAATTAGGTCATGGCAACCAAGGCTCAACTGGTACAAATGTTGGCTTCCTTCTGGTGCCAAGTCAAGACATGGCTTCTTATTAAAGACTTTAGAGCTTTGTTTACTTTCGAGCATGGTTGTGATTTCAGATCTTCCAGACTTTTATTACCTTGCTTCAATTGCATAATAAGTTCTTGTCTTGTCTAAATTGGTTTTTTAATTTTTAATTTGGAATTGTTCAGATTGTTTATCTCATTTTTTACCGTGTTTGCTGCTCTGAAACTGATGATAAAAAGGTGCCAAAAGGGAAAGAAAGAAAGAAAGAAAGAAAGAAGGAAGGAAAGAAAGAAAGAAAGAAAGAAAGAAAGAAAGAAAGAAAGAAAGAAAGAGGTAGGGAGGGATGCAAGGAAGACTGGAGTCCTAGTATCAAAGGATCATGGGGTCTTAAGTTCAGAAGGGACTCCAAAGTTCATCTATTCCAACCACCTGCCATACAAATAAAGCACCCATCTAATATCTGTTTAAAGATCCCCAAAGTAATCGAGTCACGGTGGTCCACGCTCTGGTTACATCCCGTCTAGACTACTGCAACGCTCTCTACGTGGGGTTGCCTCTGAAGACTGCCGGAAGCTTCAATCAGTCCAACGAGCGGCAGCCAGATTGCTAACAGGAGCGGGGTACAGAGACCATACGACCCCTCTGTTACACCAGCTCCACTGGCTGCCGATTAGCTTCCATGCACAATTCAAAGTGCTGGTTTTGACCTATAAAGCCCTAAACGACTCCGGCCCAGTTTACCTGTCCGAACGGATTCTCCCAACCATCAAGGCTATTAAGATCTTCCGGAGGGGGGCTGCTCTCGGTCCCACCACCCTCGCAATCACGGTTGGTGGGGACGAGGGACAGGGCCTTCTCGGTGGTGGCTCCCCGGCTTTGGAACTCCCTCCCACTAGAGATTAGATCTGCTCCCTCCCTCCTGACTTTCAGGAAACTACTAAAGACCTGGCTCTGGAATGTGGCATTCGAGGACTGAATCTATAACCTCCGTCCACAAGGAAGGAGGATGATGAACTGTGACTATGACTATGACTGGATTGACGACTTGGCTTGGGTAATTGTGATGATGATGTTTTTATTGTACTTTATTGTACTATTTTAATCTGTAATGACGTTGCACTCTGTTGTACTTATATATTATTGTATTTGCATATATGTTGTAAACCGACCTGAGTCCCTCGTTGAGCTGAGAAGGCTGGTATAGAAAACTTCCAAATAAATAAAATAAATTCTGCTCCTATCGCAGAGTTCACAAAATTTTTTTAAAGTCCTTCCTAATGTTTAAGTGGAATGCAATAAAGTAGATGAAGGGTAACCAATGAATGTCTTTCCTAACTGCAAATGGGTGGGCAACTAAAATGGTACCCCGGGAAAGAGAGCCCTCTTACCGATGACAAAGGCCTCTTTGGATTGGGTGCCATGCTCATTGTACCAGGGCGGCCGTCCAGCGGTATAGATGGTTCTTTTGCTCGTCCGCAGGAGGGGTGGCTCCGATTTGCACTGGCTGGTGGTCCGTTTCCGCGGTGACCTGGTGGTACCCACCACAGGCAGCAGTCGGTCCAAGGATTCAGCACTACTGTTGCTAAGAGACAAGGGGATAAATAAATGTGTAGGTTAGATGTTAAATCTGCCATACCTGAATTTCCAAGACTTGGATGAAGAATCCCTGCTTAGCTATAAAGTTTACATGGCATCACACTCTCCAACATTTCGTAGAAGACATAGGTATGGCCATGCAGAACAATTGTGGTCACAATGGAAAATGTTGTTAATGAGGAAGAACAGTCAAACCAAAAGCAGCTGTCGCAGTTTGCTTTTGCTTGGGCCTACTGGGAAGGGGTTGTACTGGAGCTGGGGGTGGTGACGACCAACAGGGAGCTCTGGCGTGGGCTGGTCCATGAGGTCACAAAGAGTCAGAGACGACTGAACGAATGAACAACAACATAGAATCATAGAATCAAAGAGTTGGAAGAGACCTCCTGGGCCATCCAGTCCAACCCCATTCTGCCAAGAAGCAGGAATATTGCATTCAAATCACCCCTGACAGATGGCCATCCAGCCTCTGACTAAAAGCTTCCAAAGAAGGAGCCTCCACCACACTCCGGGGCAGAGAGTTCCACTGCTGAACGGCTCTCACAGTCAGGAAGTTCTTCCTAATGTTCAGATGGAATCTCCTCTCTTGTAGTTTGAGCCATTGTTCCGCGTCCTAGTCTCCAAGGAAGCAGAAAACAAGCTTGCTCCCTCCTCCCTGTGGGAAGGGGATAATTGTACCCTCTTCTTTTCCCGGCTATGAATTAATTCGGTGCAATTTTTAATGTAACTGTATTTTAAATGGCTTTTAGGGTATTTGTTGTAATGTTTACTTATGTTTTAGTTAACTATGTCTTATTGTTTTTTTTCCATCACAATGCTTAATTCTTTGTTGTAAGCTCACTGTTGCTTTATTGTATATTATTTTGATACGTTTGTACTCACCTGAGGCATTGAATGCTTTTGTTTGTGTAAACCGCCCTTCGGGAAGAGAAGGTGGTCTAGAAATAAAGTTTTATTATATTATTATTATTATTTGAAACACAACAAGCATCACAGCCAACACTGCTGGCTGTTGTATCACACGTCGGACACTTCCCAAGTGTTTCTAGATTTCTTGTACCCCACCTTGAGCCATCAGGAGAGGAAGGTAATAAATAAAATTTATTATTATTATTATTATTTGAAACACAACAAGATGAGTCCACAGCCGACACTGCTGGCTGTTGTATTAGATCACACATCGACACTTCCCAAGTGTCTAGGACTGTGTGATGTATCGGTGAATAATGCGTGCAGATCCCAGTAAGGTGGCCTTTTGCAGCTGGCAGATGGTAATCTTGTCAGTGCCAATTGTGTTTAAGTGCAGGCCAAGGTCTTTAGGCACTTCACCCAGTGTGCCGATCACCACTGGGACCACCTTGACTGGCTTGTGCCAAAGTCTTTGCAGTTCGATCTTTAAATCCTCTTATCGTGTCAGTTTTTCCATTTGTTTCTCTTCAATCCTGCTGTCACCTGGGATTGCAACATCAAAATCAATACTTTGTTTTTTAACACGATTGTGAGGTCAGGAGTATTGTGTTCCAATACTCTGTCTGTCTGAATTCGGAAGTCCCAGAGTAGCTTGACATTCTCTGTAATTTTTTCTGGCTTGTTATCCCACCTATTATTATTATTATTATTATTATTATTATTATTATTATATAGTGCAAACTATTTTGGTCCTTTGAATTCAAAGAGAGGGGAAGTAGGAGGAAGAAAGAGAAACCAGGACACTTTAAATGCCATTGAAATCCAGTCTCTGCCTGATTTCGATGGGGAAGCTCTGGTTCCGTCTGCCACTGTTAAAAGCCTTGGGGTTGTGTTGGACTCATCGCTGACGATGGAGGCCCAGATCACTGCCATAAGTAAGCAGGCCTTTTTTCATCTTTGACAGGCAAGGAAATTGGCATCCTACCTTTCGGTAGAAGCATTGGCAACAGTAATCCACGCAACAGTCACCACGAGGTTGGACTATTGCAACGCCTTATATGCCGGCCTTCCGAAGTCAACAACCCAGAAGATTCGGATGGTCCAAAATGCAGCGGCCAGGCTGCTAGCGGGATCATCTATAAGATCCCATATTACACCGATTCTGCAACAACTGCATTGGCTACCAATAGAACATCGGATCTCTTACAAGATACTGATCTGATATTTAGAGCTCAAAATGGCCAAGGACCTTTCTATCTTAGGAGCCGCCTCATTCCTTTTTTTCTATCAGAGTTCACCTCGATCCACATAGGAAAATCTCCTATATATACCGGGCCCTAGGGAGGTACACCTGGAAGCTACAAGGCATAGAGCTTTTTCGACCTATGCTCCAATTCTGTGGAACTCATTGCCTCCATACATTAGAGCAATGTCGGAGTTGCGACCTTTTGTAAAGGCGCTCAAGACTTGGCTGTTTGGTTGTGCATTTAAGTAATCAGATCTAATTTGCCAAATAGTCACTGTTGAATGTTTTTATATTGTGTAAATGCTATTTTAGACTGTAAGTCGCTCGGAGCACCTTGGTGGAGAGCGACTAATTAAGAAATAAAGTGAAGTGAAGTGAAAATGCTGGATGATGAATTATTGGTTGGGACTGTCCCTGCCAAATCAATATAATTGGAGGGTATATGGTATTCTTTGGCCACTCACTGTTGTTCAGTCCAGACAACTGCATAACATATTGTCAGGATACAATGGAAAATGGGAACGTACACTGCTCTGAAGGTACATCTACACTGTAGAACTAATGCAGTCGGACACCACTTTAACTGCCATGGTTCAATGCTGTGAAATCTTGGGAGTTGAATATCTTTGAATGTCTCATACCTCAGAAATCCTATCAAGAGTAAACTTATTGTTCTATGACGTATTGCAAACCTAAGGTGAACTTATGAGTTTGCAAAATTTCTTTGGGTGTGTGTGTGGAAGTTGCTTTTACCATCCTCTGAAACTGAGAGAGTGTGACTTGATCAATGGATTAGTATGAATGAGCAATATCTATGGTGCTGAAAGTTGCATTGACATTGCAGAATGAATACAATTTGACACCACCTTAAAAGCCAAGGCTCGATGCTATGGAATCCCGGGATATGTAATTTGGGAAGGCACAAGCACTCTTTAGCAGCAAAGACCAACTAAAACTACAACTCCCAAGACTCCATAGCAGGCATGGGCAAACTTTGGCCCTCTGGGTGTTTTGGACTTCAACTCCCACAATCTATATGGTCCTACCAGCTGTTAGGAATTGTGGGAGTTGGAGTCCAAAACACCCAGAGGGCCAAAGTTTGCCCATGCCTGCTCCATAGCATCAAGTCCTGGCAGTTAGAATAGTGCCAAACTCTATTAATTTTGCATCGTTGATGCGCCCATAGTCCAATGCTCAAACTGCAACTCCGATCTGGCTCTCTAAAGAGGGACAACGAGCTTCCTTCTATTTTTATGTGCCATGAAATCACACAAGGAGCAATCTGATATTTATAAATCCCGGAGAGCTCAGCCGGACGGAGGTCACCAAAGCTGCCTCTTTTTATCAGCCTGAGTGCAGGAAGAGAGGAGATAAACCTCCTTTGAGAGCTCTTTCAGAGCTGGCAACTGCCCGCAACGAAAATCATGGCTCGGCGGTGGCTCTGGTCCAGGCGGATAAGCTTATGCCCGGACTGGAGCAGTGTCCCGCTCCCTCTGTGCCAGGGACAGCAGAGAACAGGTTATTTATAGCTGATCTTTCGGAGGCCAGCTGGTCCCACCCCTCCTCTGGTTTTCTATTTCCGAGGCAGGCCGCATCCCCTTTCGCTGATGCATTTATAGCAACCGGGCAAAACAAGGATTTCAAAATGCTCTGTGCGGATGAAGTGAGAGAGAGAAAGTCCTTTTCCTCTGTGCTCCCAGGTAAGATGATCGCCCCCGTCTTCATCACCTTTGGGGAAAGTTTGGTCGCATTTCAGAATCCTGGGTCTCATGTGCTTGCACATAGGAGTGATGGCAGCGGGTCAAATGAAGTTTGGAAGAACAAGACGATTTTAAGAAGCAACTTGGTCTCCAGCTGACCCTCTGTATCCACTGATTGCGCACCCACTGATTCCACCATCCGTGGCTTGAAGTTAAGCCAACCTTGATTTCGCCATTTTAAAAACAAAGGACATCATTTTACTATGTGATTGCATATCATGGGACTTGAGCATCCATGGATTTTGTTATCCACAGGAGGATCTGGAACCAAACTACAGTGGATACCAACAGGACCGTAGCCAGAAAAAAAATTCGGGGAGGGTTGAAAATTGGGGGGGGGGTTGAAAATTTCGGAGAGGGGAGTTGAACATTTCGGGGGGGGGGGTTAGGGTCACGCTGAAGCAAAGAGCACAGCAGGGGGCAGAGCAGCCTTCAATAGCCTGCAGCTCTGCCCCTGTCAACCACCTCCACCAAGTCTGGCCTCCTTAACTTGGTTGCTTCGCTACATCGGCTACTGCTGCAAGTAATGGCAGTGTGAATAAATTGTCAATATTTGCTTGAGATAGTGCTTGCAGTTCTGAAGGGACTCTTAATTTTTTGCGTCTCATAGACTTAGCATGGGGATTTGGTTAACCAGTTAAAATTCATGAGTAAACCAGGTTTTTTAACCTGAAAAATTTCGGGGGGGGGGGTTGAACCCCTAACCTCCACCCCCACCCCGGCTACAGGCCTGGATACCAAGGGCCAACTGTATACAGGACAGAACTATTCAAAGTGGCAGCCAAAAACCTGGCACTAATTCCTGAGCCATTAGCTACCAGTATCTGGAATTTCCATTAAATAAAGAAAAATTGTAGCTGGTACTAGTTTGCAACTGGGCCATGATGTATATGGGAGTTGCCACCCTATAACTCAATCCAGTCTGTGACTGACCTGGATGACCTCTGTCTTGTCAGGATTGATCCTCAGTTTATTCGCCCTCATCCAGACCACCACAGCGGCCAAGCACTTGGCCAGGCACTCGTCCATCTTGGCCTTCAGAAGAACTTTTCTATTGTCAAGAGCTGTCTGGCT